TCTCCCCTCAGCCTCCTCTTCTCCAGACTAAACACCCCCAGTTCCCTCAGCCGCTCCCCGTACGACCTGTGCTCCAGACCCTGCACCAGCTTCATTGTCCTTCAATGGACACGCTGGAGTCATTCAATGTCCTTTTTGTAGTGATGGGCCCAAAACTGAACACAGGAATCGAGGTGCGGCCTCACCAGTGCCGAGTACAGGGGTCAGATCCCTTCCCTGTCCCTGCTGGCCACGCTATTGCTGACACAAGCCAGGATGCCATTGGCCTTCTTGGCCCCCTGGGCACACTGCTGGCTCCTGGTCAGCCGGCTGTCAATCAGCACCCCCAGGTCCCTCTCTGACTGGAAGCTCTCCAGCCACTCCTCCCCAAGCCTGTAGCGCTGCTGGGGGTTGTTGTGGTCCAAGGGCAGCCCCCGGCATTTGGCCTTATGGAAACTCCTGCAGTTGGGCTCAGCCCATGGCTCCAGCCTGTCCAGGTCTCTGCAGAGCCTCCCTACCCTCAAGCAGATCAACACTCCCACCCAGCTTGGTGTCATCTGCAAACTTACTCAATCCCCTCATCTAGATCATCAATAAAGGTGTTAAACAGGAGTGGCCCCAAAACCCAGCCCTGGGGGACACCACTCGTGACCGGCCGTCAACTGGATTTAACTCCATTCACCACAACTCTCTGGGCCTGGCCATCCAGACAGTTTTTTACCCAGCAAAACGTGTGCCCATCCAAGCCACAAGCAGCCATTTTTGCCAGGAGAATGCTGTGAGAAACGGTGTCAAAGGCCTTACTAAAGTCAAGGTAAACAACATCCACAGCCTTTCCCTCATCCAATAAGCAGGTTGCCCTGTTGTAGAAGGAGATTCGATTTGTGAGGCAGGACCTGCCTTTCATAAACCCACGCTGACTGGGCCTGAGCATCTGGTTGTCCCACATGTGTTGTGTGATGATACTCAGGATGAGCTGCTCAATCAGCTTCCCAGGCACCGAAGTCAAGCTGACAGGCCTGTAATTTCCTGGATCATCCTTCCGACCCTTCCTATAGATGTGTGTCACATCCGCCAATTTCCAATCAGTCGGGACCTCCCTGGTCCGCCAGGACTGCTGATAAATGATGAAAACTGGCTTGGTGAGCAACCCAGCCAGGTCCTTCAGTACCCCACAAATTCTTGTACTGTGCCTCTTTCCTGATTACCTAATCCTTTTTAATTAGTTATGTACAGTATGTATGCTCTACCACAGTGCTTAAGCATCAAATAGCTGTTTCTAAATGGATGACAAATACAGACAATATGATTCAGCAGATTAATTTCTTAGAAGCTCTAAGAAATTGTAAAGAAGTTCCATTGTCAAATACAATAAAGATCTGTATCATAACTAACCAGACAAATCTAGAACAAAGTTCTGCAGTTTTAACTTCTATCCCTCTGACTGGGAACAGAGTTGAAAATAGATCTCATTCTATTCTTTGTTTTGTGAAGTCATCAGTACTTTGGGCTTGGCTGCTTTAAAATTATTTCTAAGTTTGATGGCTAAGGACTAAGATGGTAGAGTTAGGCAAAGAGCCTACATCTTCTTCGCACCCTAAGTACTCCAGAAAGTTAATGCTCATCATCCCAAAAGAAGTGCTCTGTTGACATCCATCTGGTAGAACAGAGAGAAGGTAGATGGGATTGACAAGCAGGCAAGCCTAAACCATGACTGTTTTGCAGATATTTGTGATACATTTCTGTTAAAAATGAATTAATCTAATAAAATGGTTAAAAACCACAGGTACTTGAAGTAGTGTAGAAAAGTCTAGGCCATTTAATTCCATCTCAGTGTGCACCACTGAGAAGTCACCTTGATCTCAAGCAACAGCTTTGAGCACTGGAGTGCCATGATTGAATTCTGAAAATAAAAAGTAGAAGGTTCTCTAGGGTGTATATAAAAAAAAAGGAAGTAGTATATGCAGAGAACTTTTAAACTATTTACTTCCTGAAGTTATGTGTACTCTTGTAAGAGCTGACATAACATAGAAACAAGGAAAGGCAATTTAGCTGACCTGGGGAACTTTCAGTGTGACAAAAGCACACCATACAATCCTGAAGAGCCAAAGAAGACAGCACTAGAAAACTGTCTGCAAATGCTGTGGTCTTTGAGGACTGCAAGGATAGAACACCATAAAGGCAAAGGACCAAGTCTCTCGGAGTAAACAAGCACAGCACACATGGGCAGGGACAGGTAAAGCAAGGTTTTCCCTCACTTTGTACTTGAACTATTCCATCCCCTGCATAAAGCCCTGGCACTCCATGAACTAAGCTGAAATAGCCTTGGGAAAAGGGAGTCTGTCTGCCTGTGGTGCCTGGTCTGACAGAGCACTCCTTTCTAAGAACATTTAGGGCTGCTCAGCTTTTTCTGGGAGGCCTGGCTACTGATGGCGGCGGAAAAAAAGGCCTCTTCTCTCTACCTTCTTACATAACTGCTGCTTTCCTGCCTCGACACTGCTTCATGTTGGGCACAGTACTCTGCTCAGGAGCAAAGCCTGGGCCTAGGCTCTGCCAGCAGCTCGAGGTTTCGAGGCCTCGGGGCGGGGGCCCATACAGATGTCTGGATTTGTACATACGTTCTGGGGGTGCCGAGAAGCTTTTGCGTCTCCGAGGTGAGCGCTTCGGCCCCGGCTCCGGAGACAGCCACGACCGCAGGAGGAGCCACACTCCCGCCCAGCGGGGCCG